TACTTGAATGAGAGCTAACTAAACACATTTTCCAGACCGGCGAAAGTGTATGCAACAGCCAATTTTAACAGCCTGTCACGTGATTTTAGTCTGAATGTGAACATCAAAAGAGGCTAATCCATTTACGCAGGTATAACTGGGAATAGAATATGTGAGGGATTGTATCAACAGAGATGTGTATAATGAAAAGTAACATCTATCCTTCTTTTGCATCGCTGAGCATTTCTGTTTTAGTATACTGGTTTGAAAATGTTGAATTTGCATGATTTCCAATGTGTTTTTTTACTGAAACTCCCCTATTGATCGAATCCCGGGTTTGAAAGAGAACGGCACACCACGTGATTCGTTTGAATACAATGCTGATGGCAAACATGCCGTGCTACTGCGGTACTCCACTGACGGGATGACTTACTAGTACCGTCACGACTGCATGCTACAACTTCGCTTGTGATGTTGCTTGTTAGTCATGGATTAAATGAATCTTGAATACCAGTCAAATGTTGCTCATTTGACGTTGGTAATCTTTATTTGGAACTGAGTAACCTCCTGGTACTTCGTACTATGATAAAAATCAGTCAACATACATCAAGTTCTCTCAATCGTAGTATTCCATGTGATGTACACCTAATATGCCAAAAATGTTGCTGAACGATTTGAACTGGATAAAAATACTAGACGAAAATTTGTTTACAAAATAAAAATACTTCGGTTGCCAATGAAAACAAACCGGTAAAAAAGCAATATGTTTTCGGCTGTTATCGTGGTAGGACATGAACGTGAAGCTAACGTCTGTTTATAACTAAAACCGGGCACCTTATACGAGGTTCGCAAAATAACATTCAGTCTTTAGAAGTCACTTTATTTTATTGTTAGCACGTATTCAGCCGTTAAATGTATTATTTCCAACCGTTTTGCGATAGTATTTTCTAGATTGGAGGCAGCATTTACATTTTATTCAAAGTTCAAAGCTGCGTTGGGATTACGTTGACAGTGGTAACAATGTCGGCGCCGGTGATCTGTCAAGTATGAACAAAATCAGCCAAGCCAAAAAATTCACAGAAGAGTTAAAAAGCCATTCCTGCTGAACAGTTACTCTAATTTCGGGGTCAACTTTCTCATTAATGAAAAAAGATATCAAAAATTCAAACTTTTTGCCCACCTTCAAGCCGAGTACAATGAGCTATGTCTGAGGTGTTGTATCACAGGGAATTGGACAAACTTATGTATTTTAATAAATTATTGAATAATAAAATGTTATATAACTTTTCTTTTACCCCCTCCCCTTCCTGGTATCTATTTCAAAGAATCACTATTTTTATTTTGTAAACACATTTCCGTCTGCTATTTTTGTCGGCTTCAAATCGTTCACCAGCATTTTTGGCATGTTAGATGTACATCACATGGAATACTAGGATTGGGAGAACTTAATGTTTGTTGACCACCTGGAAACTGGG